CCTCTCCCCCCAGCTGCTGCCCCGAGAGCAGAGTGAGGCCAAGCACAGCTGCAGAGGAAGCCAAGGCCCGGCAGGAGGCATCTCAGGTCAGGAACGTGTACATTCAAGTTGCATCTAATTCAGACCACAGTTGGGTTTTGTTGTTTTTTTGTTGTTTTTTTTTTTCCCCCCCAAGAGGACTTGCTACCTCTAGCCCTAGATCAAGCCAACACAGCTCCTCCTGCTCTGCCCAGCCAGTAGCTTCTCCACGCTCCTCATTTAAGGTCTCAGCATTAACCAGCTTGCTCCCATCTCTCCAGATAAGGAACTACAGTCATTTTCACCACACATGGATCTTTTCCCAGGCTAGCAATATGTACAGCCGTTTCCTCGAAATAAAATAAAATTTTAAAAAATCCTTATTAAAACCAAAGCTGTCCTAGAAAAACCACACCGAACTAGCGTTTCTGGATTTAGTTTATCAGCTAAACACAGGCACAACAAGTGTTAGAGAAAGTGGCACAGAAGCAGAGGGCTGGGGGCAGCGCCGAGCTGAACCGCTGGGGGGGGTCTGGGGAGGTTTGTGCATGTTCAAGGACAGGCCCGAACGGCCACACGCGCAGACAGGAAAGACTCATCCAGGACTGCCCAGCTGTCAGTACACCACAGGAATCAACGCAGGGGGAGAGGGAGGCCTTACTGCCCCTTTGCAGGGTCATTGTGGTTGTTTGGTTTTTTTTCCCTTTTTTTTTTTTTTTGCAATCTCAGAAGATAAAGTGCAACGTTGCCACTTGCCTTTGTCCTGCAGCACCTGAACCAAGAGCCCGGCTGCCTCCCCGCGCCCTGGGCTTCTCACCCCCGGCCAGAGCAACAAGAGGAACGCGACAGTTCAGCTTCCACCTCCTCTTTGGTTCACTACGACCACCGCCTCGAGCACAAACATCCTTGCTCCTGCCTGTCCCGCTGCTGCCTGCACAGCCCTGCCTGCCCCAGCCCGCAGCACATCCCATATTATTGCTTGGGGAAGCGCCAGCCCCTGCCTTCTCCTGCCGAGGGGAACCTGCTCTCCTCTCCTCCAAACTTCCCCTCAATTCAAGTGTTGGAAAAAAAAAACCAACCAAACAAACCAAACCAAACAAAATAAACCAAACAAAAAAAACCAACCAAAGACTGACAAGATTAAGCTGGTGTTTAGAATTTAGCAGTAAGAGAAAGAAGGAAGCATCAGCGAAGGGGCAGTGATATATACCGGGGGGCAGCATGCGGGTGAACGGAGGGTCAGGGGCAGCCCCATCCCGGTCTGGGGGCCCGGCTGGAGGGTCTCAAGCATCACAGCACAGCTCTGCTCTCCCAAAAAAGGAGGTTTCACAGCCCTGGCCCAGCTCCAGCCTTTCTCTAGGCCAGCCGGCAGGTTAGTGTGGGCTAGTTGAGGTCCCAGGGCAAGGAGCCACGGGCTCGGCCACGCTCCCGGGTTTGGGATTAGAGGGGTGTGGAACTGAGGGGAGGGGAGAGGTGAGGAGGGGGAGGAAGAGGAGGAGGAGGAGGAAGAGGGAGGGAAGAACTGGGAGTTTTCTGGGGTATATATAACCGCCCCTTTCAGGTGCAAATCTGCATTGCTTATTTAAATTTGTATTCAGAGGAAAAAGCACTTATGAAACTAGCAGACGACTTTGATGCAAACTAGTACATTTTAATGCCATTTTATTAGAAATCATGCAAACTTTTATATAAAAAATACAAGTGCAATAAGAATCTTTTGTGTGTAAATACAGATTCCGGGTTATCGTGTCATTGTTGGCTTCCCAAAGAAATATTCCCACAAGCACGAGAAGCTGCAGGCTTCCCTCTGTCCCTCCTTGAAGAGCCCCCCCGTAGCACACACCTGGTTCAGTTCACTTTGATCCCAGTGTTTTGTTATTCTGCTTTTTTTTTTCCCCCTGTTTTTGCTTTAAATTAGTTTGACGACCCAAGAACACTTTTTTTTTTTTAATTTATTTACATTTCTTTAGTGTCAACATAAAACGAGGAGCTCACACCTCAACGAGTAGGTAAATCTCCTTCCTAGTCAGAGCTGCAACTCCCTGGCGATTCGGAACCTGCCCCCCCTCCCCTGCCCCAGCCAAGGGCTCTTCTGCCTCCCCCCAGCCCCTCCATAGCCCTCCTGCTGCCCCCACCAGCCCTGCTCAGCCTGACCATACGTCGCCCCATCCATCAGCCTCCGTTAAAACAACACGCACACACAGCACAGACCTGCTTTTGCCTCAGAACTCGCGGCCTGCGTTCACCTGCAACTCCACCGCCAAAGCAGCCTCCTGCCTTTCCTCCAGACCTCGGGCCCTGGCCAGAAAAATATAAAGCCCAGGGCTTTGGCTGTGCAAGTTAATAAATTAAACCGTCTTTGCCTTGCTAATGCGCAGAAGGAATCCTCCAGGGCTGGCGGTTTGGCCCTGCAGGAGGTTTTACAACACGTCTGGTTGCAGTCAACACAGGCTTCATCTGATCTGTTACAGCAAATTCTCCTTTAACACATTCTTGTGCCTTTCGTTTCAGACATGGCTTAATCCCATGAATTTGCTCCATCATTTAAAAATATTTAAAAAGAAAACCCAAACAAAACAACAACAACAACAACAAAAAAAAAGGAGTTACAATTGCTGGATATGTCAATAAGAAGCCAGCACTGCAGCAGCGGTTAATGTCTCTACTCTCCTACGGTTAGGAAAGGGAGGAAAGAGAAAAGGAAACTTAGCATGGGTTTGTAGCACGATAAATCATCAACACATCGTCACAAAGAATAAAAGGTTAAAGTCAACAGTTAAAACAGCCTAAATGTGTGTGTATAATATATATCATCATCAAACAGGATCAGCAGAAACTGAAGCGGCAAGGAGGAGGTTGGTTTTAAAAAAAAAAAAAAAAAAAAAAAAAAAAAAAGA